GAAATTAGTCGTGACGAATTCATTGCAGCAGCAATGGATTTTTACTTCGGTGTGGAAGAGACCGAGCTATCGAATGCGTTTTACGGAAAATTGCTGCCTTAATTGTTGACCGCTATCCAACGCAATGAAGTGCATGCAGCATACATACGTTTTGTGTAACGTTAATTAAACAGTAGAATAGCAACGCGATATTGAAGTTAGAACTTCATTTATGGAAAATACAAATCCATATTTGTACTGGAAGCCGATTTGTTAATAATCATTGAATGAAATTAAATGTGTTTCGTGCATTAAGTTCGTGGTAATACTGTATATTCTTTTCGGGACGAAACTCAAACACATGCAGGTCCTATGACACCTACGTGTCCTCACATTTATATACTTACACTATTTCTTAATAGATCTCACAATGGATACTTTAATAATGCAGCTGCATGTATACATATAGGCCCTCTGGCAGAAATTTAATCTGCGCTCCTGTGATTTCGGTGCAGCGCTAGCACTTTAACCAACTAAGCTACACAGTCCGGTTGAAAGTGTAATAGGGACGCAAGACGTAAAACCAAACTTTTTATAAATGAGGAATTTATAATATTTGCATTAAATTATCTGTGTTAATTGTCTTCAACAAAATTTCCAAGGGGCATGTGGTTATTTTCATTTGCCAGCAATAATCTGTTGATGATTGGGCAAGGAAATCTGGTTAGATTAACTAGGCAATAGCCTGGTTAGGCTCAGATCCAACGGCTGGAATCTGAGCCTATAGCCAGGTTAAATAACCAGAAAAAAGTTTAAAGTAACTAAGAAAATTTCAAAGAATAATAGGCCTATTTGAGCAAATAATTAAGCTTACTTCCAGGTGTACTTAACATTCACGCAGAACATTTTAATCCGCGTGTTTTTTGTCGATACAAATCGTATATTGTTGAAATTCGAATGTATTAAGCTCACAAGAGGCTTTATTTCTCTTACAGATTTTAGAATGCTATGGTTATGAAGAAATATTTCGCCTTCCTTGTTGTCTAGAGAATATAACATAACATAACGCCATATGGTCTGACCGTATTGGATAACGATGATTTGTGTATAGAGTAGCAAAATATAACTTAAGCCCTATTATTTATTAAATTAACTTGATATGGGTGTAGTACCCTATGACTCATTATTAATGTTTGCACCACATGGCATCAGTGCAGCTTAAAATGTATATCTCAAGACAAAGACATGTGTATCTATCTTGACATGTATATCTCTATTTGGATTTCGTTAACGAATCTTAATTTGTATTTTTTCTCAAGATATGACGTATAGAACATGATCAGATAATGAAGAGAGAAAGTTACAAAAGCACAAATATATATGACGGGAAAATGCAGTTGAATCATAAAAACACATACCTGCATGACTTGTGTTATTAATATAATATGGTTCAGCGATTAATACAAATGACAAAATTCGATCTTACCACAATAATTTCATGCATGACTTTTTTCCGATGTCTGCTTCACAATATACCGTTTAAAATAATAATACACTTATTAACATAAGCGATCACGCAATGCTTGCAAACTATAGCTAACAGATTTTCCGTTGAAGTTATCAACATATGAGCGTGACATAACAGCAGAAAGTATATCATTTGAGAAAATCGCGAACACGCGGTTACATAGATTTTGAATTCATGGCCAAAAGATTAGTAGAGATTACCGAGGGGTAAATTACTCTGAAAAAAAGCGTACGAAGATTTTTGGGATTAGAAAATCCCGGCAATTTTTCTCGGGATTCTGGGATTTTTTCCTCCAAATTTAAGGGATTTTTGCAGCTGATATTATTTCGAAATATTTTCCCGTATTTTTTCACCGAACTTTTTCCGACATTTTTTGCGACATATAATCCGTCGAATATTTTTTTAAAACGAAATAAATCAACGAATGGCATTTTCACAGCCAATTCACGATTTAAATGTTTAAATTTGATGGGATTTCCCAATATATATATAT